AAAGCCACTTTAGTGTGGATCAGTGGATCCTAGTTGCAGTTCCAGAGTGTCGGCTTGTTTTTATTTATTTAACACTTTGGGCGCCAGAGTTTTTTGACATGACCATTTAAAAGGGTTATAGCTTAGAAATAGTTAGAGATAAATGTAAATTGTGAGTGAGAAAAATCTTCAGTAGGACATAAAGTTTGTGTTGGGAGTAAATGCGCTCATCAAAATAACATATTGTGACGTCATCAGGCAGCCATATTTGATTGCATCATCGTTACAGATGTTCCTTCTTATTTTTGTTATTTTGAATTTTTAATTAATATATATACATATATGAAACTCTTGCATTTAAAATTTCATTTTTATGTGCCACACATTGACTTCTATATGTAATGCATCGGCATCTGCTGCTTTTTACGGCTTTTATAAAAACATTGTGGCTACGTCTGTCACATTAGCAGTGTTTCTACCTCCACCATGACCCAAAGACGGTGAAGCAAACATCAAACCAACGTTTGGAGCTTGTAACTGCTGCACCAGCTGCCTGAAGCTGCACGCTGCAGCAGCGTCAATCTTTCTGGCTGGATGAGTGATTTTCTTCATCATACAGTAAATATTCTGCTTCGTAATCGGAATCAGTCATGACCAGACAAAGAGATCAGCCAACAAAGACCAGACCTGCCAACAATTTTCAGTTTCATCCCTGTAATCTTCGCCCTTTTCGTTCTGCGCTCACCTCCTCGTCTCGTTCTCTCCCTGACCAGGAACCTCTTGGCACGAAGCAGTTTTCAAACTCTAAAAACTCAGAAACTTTCAATATAAATACACCCATAAGTGTTGCTCAGCCTGAAGATACACATCTCCACTATCTTCTGGCGTAAAGTAGTAACTTCATGAGGGATATATTTGTGGCTGTGGCTCGTTAAAGTCAGCAATGATGCTTGTTGCAATATTGAAACTTTGGCTCCTAAAGGGTTAAGAGCTGAAGGGTCAGACCCAACCCAGCAGTGCTTAATGTTATGATGGCTTAAAAAGCTTAAATCAAAAAAGGTAGCTCACATCTCAGTGGAAAAGGTGTTGATTAGGATTTATCCATCCGTTCTGTCTAAACACTGAGATAATCTGACACTGGCAATTTGTGAGAGTCAGAAAATATATTATTTTCTCCAACCACTTTGTGGCTTTTACCACATTCACACCTCAGGCAAAGTATTTAGTCTATGCAGTTCACCTCTGGCTTGTGAGATTTACGACAAACGTCCAGGTGCCCATGAAATGCTGCCACTTCAGATTCTCTGTGACAGGATAAATACCATGTCAGTGTCACTGCTGATACATGACAGGATACACGGATCACTCAGCAAGAGAGAGAGGCAGAGGGAAGGGATGAAGGGAGGAGGAGAATAGAGGAGTGATGAAGTAAGAGGTGAAGAGAAGATAAGGAGTTCAATGTATTCTCGTCTGCAGGACAGGAGCAGCCAGATGCATTGATGTGAATGGAAACGATTAGTTTCCCTCCCGTTTCAGCTGAAGTGTGAGCCGGAGTAATCCCACCGCTGAATCGCTCAGTCTCTGTCTTTTGCCTCGTCTCTTTTCCTGTCGGCCTTGTCTGATTTATGGAAAAAAATCATTTCTATTGAGTGATGGGGTCATGCAGCTACATCACTCTCTCTCTCTCTCTCTCTCTCTCTCTCTCTCTCTCTCTCTCTCTCTCTCTCTCTCTCTCTCTCTCTCTCTCTCTCTCTCTCTCTCTCTCTCTCTCTGGCATTTTCACTCGAACAAATGGCCCAAACATGTGCATGCACACACACACACACACACACACACACACACACACACACACACACACACACACACACACACACACTTGCTTACTATTTTCTCTAACATTTTTTCAGGTAATTTCTAAAGATGCCTCATGTGAATTGAAACTGAAGTAGTTTGTACCACAGTGGGCTGAAATCCACCAGGATGGCATGACCATTGTTGTGTTTCTGGTTTTGGATGTGATGGTGAATACTGAGAGCTAGAGCAGACGGCAAATTGTAAGTTTGTGTTGGAGGTGGCGGGGTTGTTCTCAAGCTGTGTGTTTGAATGTGGGCTCTCTGTCTGCTAGATAATCATCACACACACACACACACACACACACACACACACACACACACACACACAAGACCCTGGGCTTCCAAATCACTACGGAGTGTCTGGATCAATCGTCCAGGGATTTCTATTTCCCTCCATCGCCTTCAAGCCATTTTTCTCTGCTTTACTAATGTTAGCTTTGTTGATAAGTGTTTTTTGATGGGAGCAGTATCTATGGAAATGATTCACCCCACCTTCTGAGAGATAAAGGAGCTGTAGATGTGACCTGACATGGGTTGATGCATGCAGGCCCACTAATAACAGAACCCCCTGCTCAGCCTAAAATGGTCCTGACTACACATCCCTACTCACACACGTCCAAGCCCATTCAACACAGAGCACTTTCAGCTTGAGATGTAAGCTACTCCTCATCTCTTGACAGGTACAAGATACTAAAATGAGAACAGCGTGCACACTTATACACACATCAATGGTTTGGAAAATAATGTCTGCAGTCGTCACGCTGTGGCGTAACATTTGGAATCGGGTGGACATGGTAAATCCAAGAGAATGTCACTGTTCACCCTGAAACGCAGAGGTTTCTGCTGACTTTCTCTAATTAAGCTGAGCATCTGTTTAATTTGTTCATATCTTGTTGTGACTTTGTGACATGTTCAGCTTAGTTAAAATCAGTGTCAAGGGACACAAGCTGGGAAGCGTGCTTAGGGGGAGAGCAAGGAAAGCAGACAGTTAAATTGACAATTAAAACAGCTAATATTGCAAGCTCAAGGCACGAGAGAGGGAGCTGGAGGGAGAGATGGAAAGAATGAAAAGAAAAGGGGAGGAAAGAGGGATCACAATCTTCCAATCATCTGTCAGGACAGAATGCAGCAGCTATGGATCTTGCTGCCTCTGGGTTACACTAATGTACTCCTGGGCCTGAAAGCAGCTCATCAGGGCCAACTATAGACTCACATTTCTGTTCAAATCATTAATGGGACGCTGAACAGCAGCACAGAGCTGGTTGGAACAAAAGCCTCACACTTCCAGATGGTACAACTTGGAAAGTGACTTGTACACATTGTAAATGTGACCCAACAGATCAGGTTTGGTGTGTCATTGAAAATAAGTTTTCACAAATATGTTAGAGAAGTCCATATTGTATTGGAAATGTCTCCAAAAAAAGTGAAGTCATTGAGTTCAGCAGTCTGCTGTTCAGTCAGAATCTTATTGGATTTGGATTCCAGCAAAATGTAAAAAAAAGTTACAGATCCATCAAAGTTACAGCCACAAGAAAGTATTTTAAGGAAGAAAGTTTAACACTGAAAAAAGATAAATGACCAGTTCGCCACTTCACTAGTAATCAGGGTGCATCATCAGTCGGCCAGGCCAGGACTCTCACAGTTAAACGGTAAATGACCTGTATTTTTATAGCGCCTTCTTAGGGTTCTACAACCTCCCAAGGTGCTTCACAACACAATCAGTCATTCACCCATTCACACACGCACTCACTCACCCATTCACACACTGGTGGTGATGAGCTACGATGTAGCCACAGCTGCCCTGGGGCGCACTGACAGAGGCGAGGCTGCTGAGCACAGGCACCACCGGTCCCTCCAACCACCACCAGCAGGCAAGGCGGGTTGAGTGTCTTGCCCAAGGGCACAACAGCAGAATTCTCTGGTCAGAGCCGGGATCAAACCTGCAAACTTTCGCTTACTGGTTAAGCCGCTCCACCTCCATGAGCTACTGCTGTCCCAACAAGGTTAGACTGGAGCCCCCAGATCCGTTTCCAGCGGTAATTGGATACATTCTTGGTCTATTTTTAGATTTTGGATGAGTCATAATAAATAAGTTACCATCCCTTGCTTTTGAAAGAGTTTTGTAGTAGTGATAATCAAAAATCCATTCCACAAGATGCTTGCTTTTTTCAGTTGGATGTACTCACTAGGGTATTTGGTGTACTTTCCTAAATAATACACTTCTAATATTTGATGTCTTAAAGTAAAACAGATTCTATTGTCAAAAATATTAAATATATAGTTAAATATACTTTATACTTTAATAATGAAAAAGTTGTATTAAGTAGTTTTAACAAAACTGCATTATTTGACTATTTTATTCCCAATTCAATCAACCAGTCGTTATTTATATAGTGCCTTCCACTGCCTTTGCATTGGAATATAATCACTGTTCACCAGTTAACTACTAATTATTAATCGTTTCTTTACAAAGCTTACATTGTTATAAACTATGCATTTTTGTCTAGAAAAATGGCCGTTGCACTGTTGAGATATTGTTCTATCAGCCTCTCTGCTGCCCTGCTATTATTATTCTAAGGCAGTGGAAAGAGATGACCTTTCCTGGTCAAGAACTTGGTGTGGTTAAAATTCAATTTCACTGAACAAAGTGGAGAAAGAGAAGAAAACACGTTAACCTTTATTTTGACATTGATGCTAACCTTGAACAATGGTCCCTAAAGGGTGAGAGGACTTCGGTCCATGATGTGCGTGAGTATAAATGCATGTGTTGTGTACTTGCAGGTGCTTGTTTTGTTTTACATAAACACCAACCTCTGCAGTTTTAGCTGTCTTCAGTGGAATGTTGAAAATGTATTACAACCATCCTCATCTGGTTTTTTCTTTTACTTCAAATCACTCATCTACACATTCAGTGTGTTTCTCTCCTTACTGCAGCGCTCATGGAGAGCAAAAACAAAGCTAAGTGAAATAAATGAACTTGGGTGCAAATTTGAGTTAATCTCGTCGACTGTTTAGGTTTTCTAGCTGCAGCTTGCGGAGTCTGTTGCAGGACAGTAATGAGGAATCTGTTACTGTGACACCAAACCCTGCACACATAAACACTTAAGTCCGGGTTGCATACTTTCCTAATCTAAGTATGTTGAAATAAAAAGCTGCTTTATTGTGGGATTTTTATTTGCATGTCAACTCTACATTTTATTGTAAATTCAAGCAACATGTTATTGCTGATGAAATCCAAATAACTGTACATTATATAAATTTACTACAACAAGGACTATACACGTTAAGGGCAGTGCATGATGGGAAAGGAGGAGAGGATCAGCTGGACTGGTTACATGCTGTGAAATGAACAGAACAGCAGGACTGAATGGCATAATTACACACGTTGTACACACAGACTACTTGAGTCAGAGGAGGTAGTTGAACTTTAAGATATTTCATTTGCAGCAGAGGAAATCAGCTGTAAAATGGAATCCACAAACATATATCTGTTTTGTGTTCTTTCACAGCTCAATTCAAGATGAGGCTTCAAACAAAACTTACATCACAAGACATCCCCCAATTTCTAAGACGATTGTATTGGCAGGCTGCTAAAAGTGGAATTCCAGATCAGTTTATTTTTACTTGGTTGTGATCACTTTCAATTTACTGCTTTTTATGTTTCAAGGTTCAGAAAGACAAGTATTTCTATTTTTAGACGCTTCAGATTTCACCTTCTAAAATAACAAGAACATCAGAATAAATTTCATTTCAGAGTGGCTTTTCTCTTTAAGGCAATCAGCCTTGCTGCTCTGAGACGTTCAAGCCTCCTTTCACTGGCTCTGTGAAAATGACACAATCAGCCAGAAGACGTGCAAAAAAAAAAAAATAATCGGGAGAGAAGTCCCCAACCTCTTGGAGCGTTTCAAGCTGCTGAAAGAGCAATAACCCTCTCACTCTCTAGTCCTTTAATTCTGCCCTCAGAGACACACAAACATAGTTACACAAAAAAACGGAATCATCTGTAGCACCGCAGACGAGCGTATTATGCAAGAATAGCAAATGACTCTGTTAAAATTTTTGCATATGAACACAAAAATAAAGTATATATATATATATATATATATATATATCAAACACACAAAAAACCTCAGAGTCAGGCAAAAAAGAAAAAGAAATAAACATGTTAAGTCAGCAATTATAAAATGCATGAAATTTCTTGGAACTGAAGAATATTTTAATCATTGTGCTGTTCATTCATGCTATGAAAAATCTCTATAGGTGCATCACAGTGTGTGTATCCTTCTGATACATGCAGGACGCTGGTATGTGGACACATCAGCAGGCTCAAAAAGCTTGCCACTAAAGCACTGGGAGGGAAGCAGTCCAATAAACAAAACAACCCTGTTCATTCAAGTAAGTGTTGGGTTCAATAGCTCGCTATACCTAATGAATACAAAACAAGGTCATTCACTGAGCAAACTGCAGTTTGAAGGACAAAAAGAACAATTTTTCATTCTTATACACAAGAAACTAATTATAGTGTTTGTGTGGAATTAATATCCATTGCCTGTTCACTAGTGCTAGATAATTGTTATTGTGGTGAAATGCACGCATGCAGAGGAATGCTACCCTTCTGTTTCATTCACTCTGTTTGTTGGATAGATTAGGTAGCAAGTAGCTAGCCATGGTCTGCAAAATCCTATTTAACTGTTTGATTAAACACTGTGGCTGGACAATCTATTTTGCTTATAACTGTTAATTATCAAGTGGTGTAGTCCTTAGAATTCCAGAGGATCTCTCATGGCCTATTTGTACAACAAAGGAACATCAGAAAACAAAATCTTAAAATTCAACATATCTAACTGCAGTAATTCCCTTTGGTGAAGGTGCTGCGTTTACGCTGTTGTTTATATTCTTTTCTGCCTTTCTTTATTCCTGTTGTAAATTCATAAAAAATATTGCAATGGCATTTGAAAAGTCTTAAATACTATACCACAAACCCACCACATACATCATAACATTATCAATGTTGTCTGAGCACTTTTTAAAGTCCAATTTCTTTCACTGAAGACTTTTCGTGAAGGTCCTCCATGTTTGTTACCGCCAAGATGTTAACCATTGAAGCACACTCGTCCGACTCGGAATCCAAACTTCTGGCTGTTGCTGCCGAAGTCTGCTGTAGCCACATCTACGATGGGCAGCAGCTCGGCTGATGGGGAGTCAATCTCTAGAACGGTCCTTTCCTGACCTCTGCGAAGCTGAAAGAGAAAAATCAAAGACATGATCAAAATCTGCCTGGCTTGCTTCCACTAGCCCATCCCCTCGCTAAAACAAACCCGTTATTAAACCTGTAATTTGACGGTTGTTCTAGTGTTAGATTCAGCTGACAACAGCAGCTCTGCTAACAGACACGTCAGTCTCATTGATGCTGATTCCACTGTGTCCAGTGGGTTGTTCTCTCTCACACTTGGCAGCACTGACCTGGCATCCATCGTGCACCGCCGTGATGAAGGGGCTTTTGGCTTGTGTGAGTTCCTCATCGTTGCTACCCTTGAAGCGGAGGGCATGCTGGTAGGAGCGGGAGGTGCTGTCAAACCAGCCTGCTGAATTCTGACAGATATAGGTGAAGCTCTGTTTGGCTGTGGCACTTAAAAGCTTCAGGAAGGTCAGCTGAACTACATGCACAGGGTTCCCGTCCCTGTCAGTGTACGAGAACTGGAAGACACAAGAAAAAGACCGAGTGTGACGCTGGCGAACAGACGTGATACGTGCTTTAGCTCAGGAGTGGGCAACCCTGGTCCTCGAGGGCTGCTATATCCAGCATGTTTTAGTTGTTTCCCTGCTTTAACACAACTGATTTTACTCAGCGGCTTATACATAGCTTGATGACCAGCTGAAGAGGTGATACAACCATGGAATTAAGGGAAACAACTAAAACATGCTGGACAGCAAACCCTCGAGGATTAGAGTTGCCCACTCCTGCTTTAGCTAAACTTCATGAAACTGATTATATTCAATGGAATAAGCAAAAGGTTTTTGCTCTGAGATGGAGGCACTGAAAACAAATGTCATGTCTGTTATTCAAGAGACTGATGAGACTTTCTAACAGCTGCACATGAGAAGTCACGGATGCCTGTCAATACAACACAGCTGCAAATAACTTTTGTGAATCATTCTGACAACTCAAATCAGCAGCTGGCAATTTTAAATCAGCTGCCTTTTTGCACACATTCTTTGGAACTTAACCCAAAATAAGTAGCAGGAAAATGTAGGAACAAGCAACAACATCCATATTTATTGTACCTGTTTTCCCTTTTTGTACTGGCTGAACCAGCTTCCTGGTTTCTCTTTTGCCCACGCTGACAATTTTACCTGAAAACAGGCAAGTGGTGAGTTAAGGGTCGGTTTGTTTTTCTAATAGATGACAGCAGATACTAAAGGCTCACCAGTTCAATCCTTTTGTCAGGGTAAAGACAGGTCTCTCCATAAGCAGTGAAGTTACAGAAGACCTTGATGGAGTCTCTGTGACAGCCCTGGTTGGGATCTATCCAGTAGTCCCCTAAAAGGCCATTTGTTGATGGCATTAACACATCATGAAAAAATAATGAATACCCATGATTGACCTTATCTTTTTAATAAGAAGCACCTTTAAGTGATTCTAAGTCAGCATAAACATTTTTCTGAAGAAGTGAGCAAGTTTCTTGTGTCTGCTAACCATCTTTGTAGTCAGGTTGGATCATCATCAGCTCCTTGCAGGTCCTAGCGGGGCTGTCAAATGTTCCAAGAGGCTTCCTTATGAGCTCCACATCATTCTTCATAGATGAGAGGGTAGCAAAGACTTCCTCCATTCCCTCAGCATCCTCCAAAGGTTGATCACCCTGGAGGAACGCCTCCTCATCCTCCCTGGTTGGTGCTGCTCCTGTTGCTTGATCTGAATGTCTTCGTCTCTTCCGCCTCTCCTCCCAAATAGGCAGAGGTTGAACGAATGTTGCAGGTGGTCCCTGAAGGTAACACAGGCATGTTAACGAGGAATGAAGGAGAATCCAAGAGGATAGAGTCTGTGATGAAAGAGATGATTGAAGGTGCTCACCGGGGGTCCTGGAAGACCGGCAGGGCCTGGATCTCCTATGGGACCAGTAACGCCCTAGAAATAGAGGACAACAGGAAATTGGGTCAATCACAGCCCTCTGGGAGGCTCTCTCACACCTCTCGTCTAAATCCTGACTTTATCTAGACAGGTACTGTGTGGTTGCTACTTATAGGATTTTCCAGCCACATGCATCAGCACTTTGGGGTCAAAGCCTTGGCTCTCAAAGCCAACCAGTGTGTTTATGTATATCACACTCTACAAACCCAGTCCTATTAAAAGGGCCCAGTGAAAAAATCTCACATTGTACAGCATGGGTTTGGTTCCAAAATAATCCAGGGAACACAGTAAGTTATTGTGATTAGGATGCATGGAACAGCGAAGCCAGCACATAAACATTCTCCTTTGTCTGCAGCATATGTTCCTAGCAGCTGCTGTCCCAACAAGAGGTGCAAGTACTGTAATGGCAAAGCGTAAATAAGACTGATTACTCTACCCACCGACTCTCCCTTCGATCCTTTCTCACCAGCTGGACCCTATGGGGGGGGCATACAATAGGAGATTTAAACATGTAAAAACTGGGTTAAAATGAAAAACACTTCATGTTAAACAAAGACCTGCAAACATAAACCAGACATGTAATTCTTTCTGCTCAGATTTTTGCACTTTAAACTTCTCTGATGATGTTTCTCACATTCATTTATCGATAGCAAGCTATGTAGAAATCTGCATACTGTGACTGGACATGTAGGCTGGCGTTGGCTAATTCAAAGGACACACGGTGTGAAGTAGACATAAAATACACCCTGGGATGGAGGAGGTGTGCTGTTGCAACAGTTAATCTACTCACTGACAGTCCAGGTGGACCCGGTGGGCCAATGGGACCAAGTGAGCCCAGCATACCCTAGGAATGAGCACAATCATGTCTTGTCAGGAAAGTTTTTTGTTGTTTTGGTGGTGGTGGTGGTGGGGGTGGGTGGTACCTACCTCGTCTCCTTTAGCACCTTGCAAACCCTGGCTTCCTGGTAGACCTCTGTCTCCCTTTTCACCAGGTTCCCCTGGGGGGCCAATTAAGCCAATCAACCCTCCATGACCCTACAAAGAGGAAAACGTTTCATCAAATAATGTGTCCATATGTTAGAACATAACTCTGCTTTCCTGTGGTTAGACACCCACTTTTTCTCCTTTGTTGCCAGGGTCTCCTTTCAATCCTGGAAGTCCTGGTGGACCCTATTATGATGGACATACATTAGTCAGTTACAGTACTGCTGTTTAAAAGTACTCATTCAAGTCACAATTATGACTGTGTTCTTTGTGATTTGACAGACTTCATTCTTAAATTCTCAGAAGTTGTCTTACCAATGGTCCTGGTGGTCCCGTCTGTCCTGGTGGTCCATTTAGCCCTTGTTCCCCCTTTAAATACCCACATTAGTCATAACGAGTACTCACACCATCAGAAGTAATTAGATATGCTATTTCACCAATGTGTTTTTCTTCTACTGACCGCAGGGCCCGGAATACCATGAAGTCCTTCTGGACCAGGCCTCCCTGGTGGACCTTGGGGCCCTACTGGGCCTGTTTTTCCCACTGGACCCTGAGCTCCCGTAGCCCCCTTCAGCGCAAACAGGGAAGGAATTTAAAACAGACACATTATGAGTGAAACGCGATTAAGACAATGTTCAAAAGTGCAGAAGTAATTTTCCTTACTTTGCCTCCTTTCACGCCTTGCTTCCCTTCTTTTCCTGCGGCACCAATATGGCCCTGGCAGAGAGAGCAAATGATGTCACTGGGGCATAAACGTGATCTCTCATGTCTGAATAAAGCTATAAAACTGCTGTGTACACAGAACTCATCAAACTTACCCTCCGACCAGGAGCTCCTGTTGGACCCGGTTCTCCAGATGCTCCTGGCGGTCCCTTCAGATAGAAGTGAAAGTTAACAGAAACATCTGGAGACACTGAAATGAAACATCTGCAGTAATGCTGTCAGGCCGCAGACTTTATGGCAGGCGTGGGGAACCCTGGTCATCGAGGGCCGGTATCCTGCACGTCATTGCTCCAACAATTCTGATTCAGTGATTGATTCACCTGTGCAGCAGCTCATCAGGCTCTGCAGAAGCATGTTAATCACCTGCTGATTGAAATCAAGTGTGTTGAAGCAGGGTTGAAACTAAGATATGCAGGATAGCGGCCCTCGATTGACCAGGATTCCTCACCCCTCCTTTATGGGATGAAAGTAAATCAATGCTTACTGCTTTTCCTGGTTCTCCGTCATCTCCTTTAGCTCCAGGAGCCCCATCGACTCCCTGATCAAAGGAGAGAGAGAGAGATGGTTTAAATAAAAAAATGCATAAATGGCAGAATAAAAATTACCTAAAAAAATCTTACACTGGTGCCTAGCTCTCCAGGGGGGCCTAAGTCTCCAGGAAATCCAATTGGACCCTAGAAAACCAAACAAACCCGCGTGTTAAAAATGGTCCTGAATGGCATTAAAAGCCTGACTGACTTTCCACCAACATCATTTCCCTACAGTCTACGCACAAGATTGCCTTTAGACCCATCTTCTCCCGGGGTCCCTCTGGATCCAGGAGGCCCAGCTGCACCAGGGGGGCCAGAATCACCCTTTTCCCCAACATCACCTTTAGCGCCCTGAGAAACCAACAATTTAAACACAGGTAACTATGGTGCAAGACAAAAGCATGAGCCTGAGCATCACAAAAACTTGAAAGCAAGACAAAGTGACTCACAGGAAGGCCAGACTCTCCAACTGGGCCGGGGTCTCCTGCTTCTCCATCCTCCCCCTGACAGAGTTGGGATATTTGACATGATGAAACACACTTACACAATGACACACCACTATACTGAACAAACCTTCACCATTCTGCTGAAAGTGCACACTGACATGAAATGTTTCTGTTAATGGTATTTGCTGACCTTCTCTCCAACACGTCCAGGCTGGCCAACTCCTCCAGGTGAGCCTAGGGATCCCTGTGGCGGGAGGAGAGAGAAAAGCTTCAACTAAAACAAGAGTGAGTTTAAATATTCATTTGATCTCTGAAAATCTGAATCTGCAGTATTTTCTGTTTGCTCGCCAGCAGCTTTGCTCACAAAGTGCTGAAACTGGAACAAAATGATCACATTATGAGGAGTTATTGCTCCAGCTCTGCATGGGTATATTGTTTAAATCACAAAAGGGTGCTTCTGCCCCTCCCTGTGAGTATGTTTGTGCAGATGCATTCGTGTTACGCTGAACTCTTTCTTCAGATGAAACCAGTGTAACTAAATCTTTAGCAGAGGTTACCTCAGCCACGCCCTATCACTGAACTCCATTGGTCATCTACTTTCTTCACGACTGACTCATCTGGTTGTTTTCCACTCTTCTTGTATCAGTATTATAGATTCAACCGTCTCTGCAGTCCAAGCTTCGTGTGATGAAGCGCTAGCGTGAGTGTCACAGCTTTCTGCAGCTGACTGCTGAATAATTGAGCAACATGAGAGGTTGCAGAGGGACAACCATTACTAGAGGTAAATATAACTGCCACTCTGGGGTAATACCACTTAATGATTCATGGAACAGTATATATAACTCCATCGAAGGATTACATTCTAATACCATTTAATAATTAAAATTTCTAAAGCAGTGGTAGGCCTGTGGTCGCCTGAAGTCACGAGGAACTGAAAAATGTATTTTGTGGAGATTATTGTTTCAAAAACCATGTAAAAATGTTACCTTCATTCTGTCGTGTGTGTGTGTGTGTGTGTGTGTGTGTGTGTGTGTGTGTGTGTGTGTGTGTGTGTGTGTGTGTGTTTGAGATAAACAAATTAGTTTATTTAAGAATTAAAATGAACAAATTAATGATCAAACCTTAATTATTTATAATAAATGACAATCAAAACCAAAGAATACATATTTTCACACTCTGACGAACACACATCAAGTGTGGAAACGTCACTTTCTTTTTTACTCGCACCTATTGAACTTTGACTCACCTGAGGGCTCCAGCCTTCCTATTTCTGACATATTTTCAAACCTCAGTGAACGATGCATGATATCAAGCTAGAATATCTGAGAAAAATTAGATTCAACTATGCAAATTTATCCATGAGAACAGTTAGACTTTATCAGAATAATGATTATGATGAAGCAGATTACAAAATAGAATAAAGCCAGTTGAAGCAGTTATTAGATCAACCAATAAAATAAAGATCATGAGCTGTCTGTTCCACCAGAGCGTTTTTGTGAAGTACAACGTGTTTGAACAAAACCAGAGGACATGATTCTAATCCTGGAAAACAAAAATATTAATAATGATGATGATGATGATAACATCAACAACAATGACAATGACAATAATAATAATAATAATAATAATAATTATTATTATTATTATTATTTTTATTTTTTTATTTATTTATTATGATAGTAAAAAATTATAACATAATAAAAATAATACTAATAATAACAATAACAACAACAACGATGATGATAATAATGATAATAATAATAATAACAATAATAATGGTGATGATGATGATGATGATGATGATGATAGTAATAATAATAATAACAATAACAATAATAATGGTGATGATGATGATGATGATGATGATAGTAATAACAACAACAACAATAATAATAACAATAACAATAATAATAATAATAGTAACAACAACAACAACAATAATAATAATAATGATAATAATAATAATAATAATAATAATAATAATAATAATAATAATAATAATAATGAATGTCAGATATTTTACCTCTGCACCAATGGCTCCCTGAGGTCCTCGTGGTCCATGCTGTCCCGGTGGCCCCTGAGGAGAGAGAAAATAAATGTGATCCCACATAACTATATGCCAAGTGAATGTGCATCTGTGCATACACAACTCAAACCGTTAGATGCCAGCCCAAGCTTGATCGCTTTCACAAAGGCCCCATTATCAGTGATTATTATCATAAAGACATGATAAAGACACTCAAACAAAGATCAGTGCCCTCAGTATGACATGGACTCGGGCTCTTTCTTGCTTGCGCCTCCTGCCTCTCTTATTTCCACCTGAAATAAAATCTATAGATCATGATATGAGCATGTTCTCTCAGCCAGAGATGGCTTGAGATTTGACTTGTCTGTGCAGCTTAAGAAGCACCAAGCAGTTAATTATAACAGTACTTGGCTTCAGCTTCAGCTGAGTTGTGCTGCGAATCACACTGAAGTATTGTGTTGTAGAGACACTGAAACAGTGAGACCAGGGAGAACTGTGGAACTGGAGAAAACACATATCCTTCTGGCACAGAGAAACATCAGCGTTAGAGGGGGAATTCTGTGATCCGCAACACTGACACATGAATAAAACTTTCCCACTGAGTCCTCAGCTTCCCTCCTCTCCTCTCGCGCTTGTTTTGGTTCCATTTTAATGCATTCCCTCCCTAATCTGACTGTGAAGAAGAGGAGCTATAGTGACGCTTGTTGGGCGTGTGTTCATGGCTGACAGCGTTGTGAGATGACTGTCACAAAGGACGATGCTCATTAGAAAGCCAAGGCTGAGGCTAATCTGATTAGCAGCTGTCACACCAACTTCCTGCTCACAGTGAGTACCCCACCTCTTCCTTCCACTCCATTGCTCCACTGTTTCCTTTTCTTTCTCTATGTTTTGCTTTTTATCTCTTCTTTCCTTTCATACCCACACAGCCTCCATGTTTACTCTCTAGGGTCATTTGTTGCTCCAGACGTCATGGATTTACACTGTTTAAAAGCCACAACAACATGTTTAGCATTTAAAAGGTTTGCTGACATTATTGAAAATGGTTAATATCATGACCATTTTATAAGATCGAACCAATGCTAAGACAGCAACAGCAACATCAAATGCAACAAAAACATGAACTTATAAGCATAAAATGTATTCAAACAATCTTAGAATCTAAAAAATGGGATTTTCAAAATTACATCAAGTGTAAACATCAGCTGTAACCAGCTATGAAATTTGTAGTATTTGTCACCACTTGCTGTCTGTCTAGCAGGATCCATTACAAGGACTAGAACCATAATTAGCATTATTAGTTATACCTGTGCTTTTCTTGTTATGATAAATTGAATTATCTGCTTTCAGAATTTGATTTTCTTTTGTAAAACATAAATTTAGATGGAGTGTTTGATGTTACAAAGGGGATTAAAGTGGAAAATCAGCACCAAGCACATAAGCTGGTGGCAGACCAGCTCCATTTTCTTCTAATTTGAGTGCAGTTGCCTCATTTTAGACTCGTCTAGGTGCAGAGTCTATTTGAATATCAGCCTGATACCCCAGGAGCAGAACAGTATTGAGACTAATCACTGATCAGAGCAAACTCAATCCCTTCCAGAAGACCACTTGAGACTGGGGGAAGTTCGTGTTAAGAATTATCAGCAGAGGAGAATGTTGGTTCATCAGTACAACACAGGTTTACAGTTGACACAGCTGTTGCTAATTAACTAAATGGGTAGTTCTAATCAAAGTTTATTTCGCTCAGGTGGAGTGCCTGTTCTATGTACAGAATGTAGACACTTATGTGTGTCCTGTGAAAAGGAAACGTTGTCTTTGGAGGGGTAACAATTGGTTTAAAACTGTTTAGTGGCAGCATGATACAAGAAGAAGAAGAAGAAGAAAATATCATTTCTACAGCGCCTCTCAAGATAAAAGGCGCTTCACAAAAACAAAAACAAAAAATATAAAAAATGTAAAAATATAAAAAAGCATTTCGAAAATGTTTAAAATATATTTAAAATGAGCAAGAATAAGCAATTGCGATTTAAAAGAAAAAATGTTAAGAGAAAGAGAGAGAGTGAACAGGAAAGAGGGAAATCAGTGGATCCTGAGGAAGGTGGAATAGGTGGGGAGAGCAGAATAAAGAGAGAGAGGTGAAGAAGGTCATACAAAAGCCAGCTTGAACAAGTGAGTCTTCAGCTGCTTTTTAAAGGAGACCACTGAGTCCACTGATCTCAGGCTCAGGGGGAGAGAGGTCCAGAGTCTGGGGGCCACAGCAGCAGATGATCTGTCACCTTTGACCTTTAGCCTGGTGCTGCACAACCAGTAGGCTTTGATCACTGGACCTCAGGGACCTGCTGGGGGTGTAGGGACTAAGAAGATCACCAATGTAAGATGGTGCTTGTCCATGTAAGGCCCTATAGACCAGAACCAGGATCTTGAAATGAACCCTGAAGTTGACTGGCAGCCAGTGAAGCTGGAGGAGAAGCGGGGTGATGTGGGTGTGTTTGGAGGACTTGGTCAGAAGCCGAGCACAGGCGTTCTGAACCACCTGTAGACGGTTCAGGGAGGTTCTGCTCAGACACGTGAAAAGAGAGTTACAGTAGTCTAAGCGTGAGGAGATGAAGGTGTGGAGAACTGTCTCAGGGCAAAGCCTGATTTCTACTTCTCCGTCTGCGTCGGTGCAGAGATGCGCAATGCCATTTTGTGTCGGCGCAAGAGCTCTCCGATGGGCTCACAGAGGCTGACAAGAGACATGCCCGACTTTTCGACCATCTGCCAAAAGTGACAGAGACCACAAGCTTGTGATTGGTGAGGATGCTGCTTCCTTTAACTTCGTCAACAACGCCGCCATTGCCCCATCAAAAAATAAAAAGATATTTTGCGGCAGACACGGACTGGTTCCAAAAACTGTTTTCAGAAAACGTCTGAAAATAGGAACGTTTATTCAATCGCGACTGAAGGAGTATAAAGATATGGAGCAAGTGTTTAATTCATGGACAGAAATGACAAGAAATGTGGGTGTAGAGGAGCCGATCACATGAAGAGGTGGAGGAGAATGAGGGACAACATCATCAGTGTTAAAAAGTATCTGAAATACATTAGAACAATAGTAAATACAGTATTGTAGTCCAGATGAGAAGCAAAACGTCTTCAAGAAACCAAAGAGGTCCAGTTTCCCTCATTTGAACCCCTTTGGCTCACCATGACACTGAAGACTGAGAACCTTCACCAGCATCTTGATATGTTGGGCTGAACAACAAAATGAGTGTTTGGTGTTTGGCACATACCAATCTACTGTAACATTATAGAGGTTTTAGTATCCATGCACAAAAATAAGTGAAAACATGTACGGTTATTTAGAATGCAAAACACAAAGATGAGATGTCATTTTGAAAACGTAGCGTTCGTTTGAAACGTGAGGAGACAACAGAGATCTACTCACCATTGAACCAACATGGCCACTTTCTCCTTTCTCACCAGGGGGACCTGGCATTCCCTACACAGTAACCAGGGAGAAGCAAAGATGGGAGAATAAAATGAAAATATCAGATGTGGAGCAACAAACGCTGATGTTAAAATTAGTTTCACCTGTAGCCCAGAGGGACCTGGTGGTCCTTTGAACCCCCTTGGTCCTTCGTCGCCTTTTGCCCCGTTCACACCCATTTGCCCACGAAGACCTGGCTCACCATCTGCACCCTGAAGAGTGCACAGATGATTAATATGACAAAAACCAACCCCAAAAGGATGATTTGAGTTATTTGTTCAAAGGAATTGTCCATACTGATGGTCCTGGTTGGCCTACAGGTCCTTGAATACCAACAGGTCCTGGGGGTCCCTAAAAAGGAATGAATAGTTCTATGGATCTTTGCTGATGGGCAGACATGACTGATGTAATCACAACCACTTGTGACAACCAAAAGGAGTTATGAGGGACATTGATCTTAACTTCTAACCATATTTATGATGTTGTGTTTGAGCTATTCACAGAAAAACTCCTACTTACAGCTTCTCCTTTGTCTCCTTTGCTGCCTTTCTGGCCTGGTGTGCCCAGTTCTCCCTACAGACACGTATGAAAAACATATAATTAAGCCCAATGATCAGCCAGACACTCAAACAAGAATTTTAGTCCAGACTTACTGTCCGATGACACTACCTTGTCTCCGTCCTCCCCAGGAGGCCCAGGCGATCCAGCAACCCCAGGCAGTCCTGTAGGTCCTGGTTGCCCATCATGCCCAGCAGGTCCCAAGGTTCCCTTCTCTCCCTGGGGCACAGATAGAACAACAGATAATGATGGCCCCTTACCACAGCATGACAGATGGATTAATGTGCTTTATCAATGGGGAAAGTCGCTTCCAGGAAATCCGGATTGATTACATTTATAATTTTTCCCCAAACGGTTTTCGGTCTCATGCTGACTCTATCCAATCTGAAACCACATGTTGTGTTTTCACACAGTAGCAGGAGGTGATAGAGCACTGTGTGTTAATAGACACTGTTGCCTAAAATATTAAATTAGCAATTTTCCAAATCTTACTGGCTCGCCTTTCTCTCCGTTCGGCCCAGCAGGACCAATGCTGCCTGGTCGTCCTGGTGGGCCGATAGCACCAGCCGGCCCAGCAGGACCCCTCTCACCAGTAGCACCCTGGAAATCAGAGGAGATAGGAGTACGTCACATGAATCATACGTTTATTTATTGTAGTGGTTCTAGAATTTGATTTAACATGAGAAAATAACTGATATAATCGCAATTGTAAAGAAAACAACTTGAAACAATTTAACTCACAATAGTTCCTGCAGTGCCAGGTAAGCCTTCTCCTCCCTTTAGACCTGGAGGGCCCTAAAACGACAAACCACTGTTGCAATCAAATTATAATTTACCATGAAATAGTTTTGATTTAGAGCACTCCCACCTAGTCTGCTAATTTAATTTCAAACTAAATCAAACTTGCACATTTTAGGCATAGTTGCTGTTGGAAGTAAAAGCAGGTGAGTATCAGAACGTTTGAGTTACCGTCACACCAGGGGTTCCTCTGCTCCCTCTGAAGCCTTTGAGCCCCGGGGGGCCACTCTTTCCTGCTACTCCAAGTGGGCCCGGATCTCCCTAGAACCCACACACGAACACACACATTTGATTTGATTATCAGCAAGTGGCCAATAAACAAAAGGCCATAAATCACACAAACCAGCAAGTCGGGCTAAGAAGGCGCATTAATCTTTTATGAGCCACAATATGCTAAACACCACGAGGTTCCCATTGTTATTTATTGTCCAATTAGAGATCAGAATTAGACCCAGGAGATAAGGCAACCACAGTACAGCAGGAGTACTTGTGTTTTATGTATCAGTGCTACTGATTAAAGCGAGTGATTATGATCCTGATGATGTGATATATGAACTCACCTTGGCACCCTCCTTTCCAGCAGCTCCTGGTAAACCATGCTCACCTGGTGGTCCTGGTGAGCCTGGATGACCTCGATCTCCAGTTGGCCCTGTCTCACCAGATTTCCCCTGAAGACAATCATAGTATCACTATGTACCATGTTTCTAGTACATTAGCACCCCCAGCAAAACGTTCCTGGTAAAAATTTGTACCTGAGGTCCAACAACTCCTGGAGGACCAGGAGGTCCATTCTTGCCTTGAAACCCCTGAAAACAAAGATGTGTGAGTCTTTTATTTTGAATATTTTAAATTTAGTGAATTCGGTTTATTTTCAACATGATCTATTCGAAGTGTGCACATAAAAGTAATTTAGCTCCAATGCTGAAAGTTTTTTTTAAGTGACTCACTGGTTCTCCTCTCTGACCTGGATGGCCTGGTAATCCATCCTTTCCAGAGGGGCCCTGAGAGTGAAACCTTCTTAAATCACTGCAATAACCTGAACTTACCAAAGCTAAACAGGAAATTGTGGCTGAGATCAAATCAGTAATACTAAATCACAGGATAGCTATGCTCACATTAGGCCCTTTAGGTCCTGGTTCCCCACTCTGCCCCTGTGCTCCTTGAGGACCCTAGAAAAAATGGTCTTACATTGATAAACTCATGCTACGAATCAGATTTCCTTTAAAATGCAACAGGTGTAATACAGAAGTGAACCTACCTGATCTCCTGGAGATCCTGGAGGCCCATCTTGTCCAGCAGAACCCTATCAGGTGGATAAGGCAAGAATGAAATGAAAACCCAACTAAGCATTGTGCTTTCAAAGATGTGCAGCCTATTGTCTGCCAGCAAAGCACTAGCTCTGCCCAAGTAGATTTGGAGGGTGAGAATGTAAACTGAAGTATGCCCCCGCCAAGCTCGCGCTGTGCCAGATGGCCTGTCATGGAGAAGTGAAATGGAACAACCAGGCACATCTCTGTCAACTCATTCATCCATACTTGATGAGGGATCCAGGTGTGTTTATGTATCTGTAACTGTATGTGCATGTCTCTGTTTATGCCACCAAGCCCACCTTTTCTCCAGGCTTTCCGGTTGGCCCCCTTGCTCCTCTTCCACCCCGGGCTCCCTGTTGGAAAACAAGCATCTGTTTATTAACACATGTGACTGGGTAAATAGCATGCCATGAAAACCCTGTAGAGCCCTGATAGTCCGGTTTACTCCCACATGTTTTTGTACATTGGCGGTACCTAATTACATAATGAGTATACATCATTATACTTACATTAGGACCTCTTTGGCCTCCTGGGCCTGGCTGACCAGATGCACCCTGCATTATAAAAACCAACATATTTGTCACCTCACAAGGTCAGCCTATATATTTGGCATGGAGATGAGTACAATTCGATGTGGACTATAGAGTCAGCATTATCCTCACCCTTCTTCCTTTCTCTCCCAAGATGCCGGCTACACCGGGGAAGCCTAGTGTTCCCTGTGGACACAAGTAGAGGTTAATCAGCCTCCGCTCTCCATTTATCACGTCACCCTCAATGTCTCATTAACTTATAATTAACTACGGCTTCAAATGAAAGCAAATCTAGTCCAAGAGCTCAACACAGCCTTAAATACACCATTCATCACCATGTGATAAATCGACGTCGTTAATGAACTATAAATAAAATAGCCTTTTTGAATATGCCATTTATCATGCTTTATTATTAATCATACAAGAAAAAGTCACGTAAACCACACATCATGGTGCTTCAAAGCTCTGATGGAGGAACTTCACTGCGAGGCCTCCTGAGTGCTAAATTACCTTGGGGCCTTGTCTTCCTGGGTAACCTGGCAAACCAGGAACACCGAGTTTGCCCTGAAATGAGGACAAAGCAAGAAAAAAGTGTGTAGTTTTTAATCAAGTGCTACGTATGATGTTAAGCTGTTGCACGTGTAACGTTAATCCTAAATGGTTGAATATTCATGCTTGTGCTGACAAGGACTAGTTTATGTGGCACATTAAAAACAACACGTTGTTGACCAAAGTGCTGTGCAGCACAAACATAATGGGTACAATAAAATCAATAAAGACAGTTAAAACAGCAAAAATAGCAGCGCTCCAATGCCCTCTGAATAAAAAACCAGCAGATAAAAATGTGTTTGAGTCTGAATTAAAAAAACACCACTGAGAACAGGTGCCTAAAGTAGCCTACATCACCATAGTCAGTGGAAGTGTTAATAAACGTGCAGGAAATAGAATCTAATTCACTAAAATAATCACGTTTCGATGTTTTGTTATATTTGAAAGCAGAAGGAAAATACTTTCTTATTTATTAATATAAATTCAGGAACATAAATCAAGGTTTTACATAAATGGTGTGTTGAGTCAGCAGCTGGGTAGTCCTACGATCATTGGGTATTTCCATGTAGTGTAAATTATGCAAGTGTAAAGAGCACCTTCTCTCCTGCTGCTCCAACTTGTCCCGACTCTCCTACAGGTCCCGTCTGACCCTTTGGCCCTTCCGGACCATCCTCTCCACGAGAACCAACTGCTCCATTTTCACCCTTAAGTTCAAAGAAAGAAAGACGAAAGAAGTTGAGATGAGTGATTTTTTTCGTTTATGAAACAATAACTGAGATGATGACAACAAGGCAGGTAATGAAAAACAGATTTCACCCTGTCACCCTTGACACCCATGTCCCCCTTAGGCCCAGGAAAGCCATCTTCTCCCTATAACGCAGCAATAAGAGGTAAAATCAAAGGACTGTGTTAAAATCTCATCATCGTAATGTGTGAACCATCCATAAAACCAGAAGTTGCAGCTTGAAAAGTGCCAGAATAATGGTTTTTGTATCCATTTTGTCTCACTTTTTCTCCTTTGCTCCCCTTTAGACCTCTAACTCCATCGGCTCCCTGTGTAACAGACAAAAAAAGCACAAGAATTCAAACAAACTCTGAAGAATAGAATATGAACTACACCCCAAATATTATAACGGTATACTTGAAACACAGAAATGTTTTTCCTTTTGACATAAGATTTCCCTGTTTTTCAGATTTTCTTTTATTTGTTTTTTTGGAAACATCCAGAATCCACAGCATCACTCCTACATGGACAGATCTGGTCTGACTGTCTCAAGGTTTCTCCTTCATGTCAAATGGGTTTCACTTTGTTGTTAGAAGTCCCCTTCAGAGCTGAAGTCCTGTAAGCTCAACCTGTCAGCTCTCAGTTGTAGACGTAAACAGCTTGTCCATCAAAGGCAACACACACACACAATAAAGTGGGAGAGGGAATAAATGTCACTGAGCATTACCTCTGAGATCATGGTGCATTTTATGGCTCACCTTGACTCCACGGATGCCCGGGTACCCAACAGGCCCCTGAGTTCCAGGCAAGCCCTACATGTCAAAATAAAATAAAGTATTTTTTAGTAACAGGCCGAAAAATAACTTTGAGTCAGTGTGAAATGGGCTATGACACCATATCTCATCTTAGGGATGTAGAAAATGCAAATAGTTCTGCTAACAGCTCTAATGGGATAATTCTATGATACAGATAATGGCACTATTGAGACTCCGACCATAATGAATGCATTCAAGCAGACAAAAAAATACATGATTTTGTTGCTTTAAAATCTTCCTTCAACACCACAGAAGAAGAGTCTTAGACATGCAGTTACCCACTTGGATGCCTTTTTCTCCTGGGGGTCCCTCCCTTCCTGGGTGACCCTAAGAAGAAAAACAAGCATTAGAATGCATGAGTGCAGCTGCAAAAACATCATTTTCATATCTCTTCCTAACAGAATTTTCTGAATGCAATTAACAAATGAGAAAGTGTCACAGAGAGTGAAAAAGCACCTTGAGGTATCATTGTGTCACAAAGCTCTGCAGAACAATGCAAAGAATAATATGTGAAAGTCATACAAATGTGTCTGACTGCAATGTAAAATTAATTCCTTAAGATTAAACAACCTCCCTCTAAGACAATCTGTAGCTCTCATTCTAAATGTCATCCTGCTTTGGATCGACTCTGAAAATGCCTCCAGTGAGGGAAAAAATGTAAGCTGGCAAATTTAGTTCACTTGGTTGCACTAAAACAGATTCTGGATAGAAAATGTGTGCACTTGCAAGAAAGTGTATGTGCATTTGCTAGCATGCACATAAAACTCACACTGCTTTCCATTTTACCAAGTAATTGGTTTATTTTTTATGCTGGAAACCGGATGTACAGTACTCTAAAACAGTTCAACGGGTTGTCTGGTTACATCTGGATGGAGTCCTGAGTTGCAAAAGGTGTGCTAATGCGTTTACATGTGGGTCTGTGGTGAACTTACTGGAGGACCATCAATGCCTGGGAGTCCCTGCATGCCCTGTTTACCTGGGGGACCCTGTATGAGGCATAAAAATACAAAAATATCTGATCGGTACATATTTTGTATGTGTGTCTTGTACAGATGCATTCCCCGTCACAAAAGGCTCCAGCCAAGGTGTTTCCTTCTGTATATTATATGGGGACATTTCTGGTTTTATGTGGCTGGGGGGTTACGGTTTGTAATTTTGTACAGCAGCTGAACTGAAATTGAATACTTATCTGCACATATGCTGTATAGGAATATTGAATAGGTGCATATCACTTCACCAAAAGCTCCAGCCTAGATTTTTGTTTCCTTAGCATCTGTGTGTGTGTATTGATTTCCCGTCTAGTCCTGTCTTGTCTCAATGGTAGTCAGAGGAGGCTGGCTCACACCGTCCTCCTTGATCTGGCTCCTCTAGGTGTGTGATGACGCAGATGTCAAAAAGTCACAACTTTATTACCTACGTAAATGTAGTAAGTCATGCTACTTACCTTCTCTCCTGGGGCTCCAATAGGACCCTGAGGACCATGGAAGCCCTGCACCAAAGCAAAGCATCAGTCAGATTAAGAGTTACAAGAATACTGAAAACATGATTAGCAATCGGCAACGTTAGCTTGAATCATCTGTAAATGTGTGAGTTATAAACATAATGGCTGCTTTAGAAAAACAGAACATATGATTCACTTTGCTGTACATGGCATGGATCGTAAATGTTCCAAGCCAGATTTATTTTTAATCTACAAAATAAAATAACACGGCTAATGGAATAAAGATTGTGAAATAAAAACAACAACATATGCAACAAACATGGAACTGTCTATTTGTCTGCCAGTGATGCTTCCCTTCGTAGATTTTATAAATCACATCGTGAATTGATCGAATCTTTTGGCAAAAGTTTTTTCCTAAAGTCCAGTACCTGTATTCCTGGATTTCCTTGTTGACCTGGAGGGCCTATTTCTCCATGTGGTCCCTAAAAACAGTCAAACCAAAACAAATCACACGGTTTATCAAACCCTCAATGATGTTCTGATATCTGTATAACTTGTGAAACTAATCTTTCACATTTAATCCTTACAGACTGAATGACAAAATGCTGTTGAGATAGTAAAACTGACCTGGTTGCCCTTTGAACCTTGTACTCCATCGGTACCAGCTATACCCTGTAAAAAATACCAAAAGGACACAGATTAAATATTAAATAAAATTCCTGATATGGGATGTTTTTGTTTGTTTTTGATTCAAAGACATAATAACAACAGCTCCATCCTCTGGATCTGAAGCGATTGAATGTCTCTGATCCTGTCATCAAGTTGACGTTGACATACCGGTTGTCCAGGGGAGCCAGGGGGCCCCCGTGGCCCGACAAGACCTCGGGGACCCTGGAGAGAAAACACAGTGAGCAGTCAGTCAAGCTGCATCCATGATGACGCTGAATAAGCGGAGAATACTAAACCATCAATCAGAACTGAAGAGAGAGAAGATGAAAACAGCGAGAGACCACCCGTTTATTTCAGTGACTGCACGTGTTTTGTATGTGCTCGCTATGAAGTGTGTTGTTGCCTGTTGGTGTGAGTATGTTTGTGTGGTCTGTTTTTGTCAGCCCCCCTCTTTGTAAGCTGGCCAAGCCACCTGCTCCAAAGCCACATCTGTGATCTCCTGGGATGTGATTGATATGGAAATATAATCGTTCGGGCCAGGATTTTATTGCTTACCTTGCCGACATCTTCTATCCTCTTTCCTAACTCCATCTTATTTTTGCCATCTGCCAATGAGGTGTTTGTGGTTTATCAGAGTTAGTTTTTAACGTGGCCTGTAGCAGCTCGATTTCCTCCAGCACTGAGCCAATCAGCACTGAGCAGCCTACGCCACACACCACAATGCTCAGTTACTTATAAATAACAAAGACGGCGTCTGAAGCGGAGTTCGCTGCGGCTCTGTCCTCTGTTCTAAATGACTTGGACACGTCTTTAAAACCACAACAAGAAGAAGCGCTAAAAGCCTTTCGTCTAAAGAAAGATGTCTGCGCCATCAACAGATGCCATCTTTGACTACAGCTAAAAACTACAGCGTTGCGCGGTACATTTGTCCTTTCTGCATTTTTTTCTGATTGGTTATTTCTGAGATGGCTAATCCCGCCCCTCGTGATGCTCTCTACCTCTGAGTATCCCAACTCATACTCTGTGTAGAAATGACAGAGGGCGAGTCTGGCAGGCAAGGCTACAAACTTTAGGTGTTACATTGAAAATCCTGTAAAGCATTAATGGAAACGAGTCTCGTCATCCGGCGCTGGTCCTCTACTGGAAGCTAGGCTCTGGTCTGAAACCTGTCTCCCCTGGCCAGCACAGGATACGTGGCTTAGGTGACTGGCAGTTGTAGCTAGTGGCTCAAGTGTTGGCATGCAGTAATGCACACAGATTTGCATCGCAGTCTCAGTGGTAACTTTTGTTCTTTTTTATCTACACTGCCAGTATGATGTTTTCAACCCTCTATTGGTAAGCTGTTTAAAATATAAGAACTAAAATGTTTTTTGTTTGCTCTTTGTTTATTTAGCCAGTGTGAGTCCATGTGGCGTAAGCAGAATATCCACTAAAGCAGGGGTGTCAAACTCAAATTCACACTGGGCCAAAATGAAAATCTGGGACGAAGTCGAGGGCCAAACTTAATATTTTTTAAAAATGTGACGGCAAATTTGCACATTTTCTTTATCAACATATATGCAATTTTGAACCTTTTAATTTGGAAACAAACTTATATTTGCATTAACACTAAATGTGGAATAACCAAATTACACATGAGCAAGTCAATTAAGCAATATCACACGAGAGGGAGTGCGTTGTTGCTGAATATCAGCACTGGTGTGATTTGGTCATAGGCATGAGGCCGCAGACCGAGTGCCGTAGATAATCACACCAGTGCTGATATTCAGCAGCAACGCACGGCCTCAAGTGTGATATTGCTTTTATACAACAGTTCTACCTGCTCATTTTATTTTTGTAACAACAATAAGCAACAACAGATTATGATTTGTTCATTTATTTAATAATTTATCAGGCTCCGCCAACACAAATAGTCCCGACACAAAACGGAGACTCGGACAAGGCTGTTGCTAGGCAACACAAACATTTTCTACAATAACGGTTAGAACGCCTGTGCACAGCAGAGTGATACTGTTTGTAAACAGTCCAATATCAGCACTCTTGGAAAGTCTCTTGACCAATCAAATCACTCGGTCGGAACTAACTGTTGTATAATTAGAAATAAAAGGCATCAGTGGTATTCATTACTTGTGGTATATTCAGCATTTTTAAAATCTATTCAGGATTTATGTTTTCTTGTTGTTTATTCATTTTTCTTATTTTTTTATTCTCCTTTTTTTCTCCTGTAATACGTGTCATCGCTGCTGTGACGTCTAGCTTTCCCCACTGAGGAACAATAAAGGGATTTTCTATTCTATTCATCTATCTGCAGCCTTTCCACTTCCTGTTTTACTGTAGGTTACATCTCTTCTCACGGGCCAACAACAAAATAAAAATATAATTTTATCTTAAATGAAAATGCAACATCTCACTTGTTAACTTTCATGTTTTGGAGCAGAAAAAGAGCATAAAACCTAAATATTTAAAGCTCAGTTTGCTCCACTGGTTTACTGTGATGCTCACCTGTTCCAGCCAGATACCTGCATCATGGGGTTGATCTGAGCTGAGGAGGAGACTCCTGTTGTTTTGTTCATCTTCATCATAATAATGACAATATTAGATGACAACAGGTGCTCACATAGGTTTGTGCTGCTGAACATGTCTGATAGTAATGTGTCGGTCGCGAACGAACCGGCTCTAAGAGCCAGCTCTTTGAAGTGAACGATGGGAGCCGGCTTGTCATTGGGAGCCGCCCCCTCCCCTCTTGCTTTGGTGAAAGCTACAGGCAATTGGTCAACATGTGTAACTGCGTGTCCAGACTGTCCACACATAGAGCAGTAGGGGCAGGGAAGACACACAGCAGAGCACATGCGGGAGGAGGGAGATGAGAGGGAATGAGGAGGAGGAAAAAGGCGAGTGAGAGGGAGGAGAGTGTGACGAAGACAGTGAGAAAATGAGCGCCAGCAGTCAGAAAGTGGAGATTTCTTAAAGTGTTCAGTTATTAAATCCATAGAAATGATAAATATTTTATATATTGCATTTTTTACATTAGTAAATCATTTTACACATAGTTTTGCATTATTTTGGTTATAAATGTACTCTACGCAGCAGAAAATCTGAGGAGCCACTTGGGAGCCGAAAGAGCCGGCTCTTTTTGGTGAGCTGAGCCAAAAGAACCGGCTCTCTAAAAAGAGCCGGAATTCCCATCACTAATGTCTGAGCAGTTTAACCACGTTGTTGTGTCGGGGAGGAAAAATAAAAACGACAGCAGGCACAGAGTCATGCTGATTTGGGCGTGTCGCTGCTCGCTGGAGTTCTATCAGCTCTGTCTGGAAGTTAGTTGGAAAACTTTCTGTTTCAGTCGTGAACACATCACTGAGCGGTTAAAATCTCTGTTTCTGGGCATCAACTTCGGCAAATAGCTGAGTAAACTCGACGCTGAGTGAGAGGCGTGTTTAGTTTGTCCGAGACAGCGGAGCTGCAAACACCGGCAGTAGACGCTGGGAAAAACACAAAGGAGGGGAAGCTTCGGCTCCTGCTAACGCCGCAAAGCATCATGGGAGTTGTAGTCTTTGCGGTAAAATCGGCCAGCGGGTCAGTTTTAATATATTTTTGATATTTATCTCGCGGGCCACATAAAAATGCTCCGCGGGCCACATTTGGCCTTGAGTCAAATAAGAAAAGACCTCATTCAAAAATCTTAAGAGACGCAAATATTTTGCAGAAAATAATCAATAAAACCAAAATATAAAAACATGAAGTCTGCTTCAAATGGCTAAATGAATCACTGCCGACACCGGGAGTCGAACCCACATCAGCACATGGCAAAAAGTAGTCAGACTGGTTCTATTGAACTAACTTCTTTATATTTCTGGTGGTAAGTAGACTTGTGTGGCTGCTGAATCTCAGTTCAACTTTTTAATCACAGGTAATTCGTGGTTTAAAAATGACTCGTTGAAATCATAAATGAATTCATATTCACATAATGAATGACTATTTCTTTCTAATGTTTCCCATAGAGCCAGGATGGTTTCAATAGCTTCTTTTTTAATAGATGAACTTATAAATTGAAAACTGCTTTTGCATTTGCACAGTGTTTCTTTAACACTGACAGCTGAAATCTTTTAATGTTACTAGCTGAAAATAAATAAAAAACCTGTAAAATACATAACACTGTATGTTGTTGTAAGTGTCTACATAGGCACACAAAAAAACAACAACATTGAAATCTTTCCGATCTGGATACATACAG